CAGCAGGAAGGGACCCAACCTGGTCTTTCACTCTCAGAGATGAAGTTTGAGGTTTAGCCTGGTATTTTGATGTTTCTTAATGCAATTGGAAGTTAATAGGACAGGTCTCATGGCATGGGCTGGTAGTTCAGGGTCTAAAATGGGGCTCAACACTGGTAGTGATCCAGATCTTGACAGGGACCGCTAGTCAAGTCACAAATCCAGTGAGACCCGAATTCATTTTGCCGTCTAGAGACTGGTAAGTAGCAAGAAGTTGGTTCAAGTCCTGCCTTTCTGTGGGATGCCCCCGGGCAGGATATCCGAGTCCCCCTCAACCCTCCTGTGCAAAGAGTCGAGTAGAGATGCTTTTTTGGCAGCCGCGTGTGCACGTCCAGATGAGCTGCTGAATGGTGCTGCTGCTCACCTCGGAAAGTAAAGGCTGCCCGGTTGCCTTTCCTGATGTATGAGAAAGCGCCACCTCTTCTGACTGAAACCTGACATACTCCAAAGGGACATTTCATTTTTATTTTGAAGCGCTCGTAGACTGTATAGCCAATGACTAAAATTGTTAACTTTCTTTTAAACGACTGTAATTTGCATTGTCTTTTATGAATAAGATCTGTCCAGGTGACTCTCATGCTAAGTACAAGAGGTAAGAAGATTCCTGCACCTGAGAAAAGCAGACTGGAGATGAACAGAAAAGCCACAGCAGCTGGTCCTGTCCAAATCGGTACTCAGATGAATTTCAAAAATGTGTATTTTGGGGAAGATGGGTTTTTCACATTCAGGTGATTGATCGCTGAGGGCGCTCACATCTTCACAAAATACTTAGCAAGTATATTCTTGTTTCTTTAGCGAGGCATCCAACAACATACTGGAAATAATACAATAAATGTCTTGTGTTATATTTTGTGTGATCCTTTTCTTGTGTGGTGGTGTTGCCCCTAGTAATGACATACCTGGAAGGATCATTGGCAAGAACAAAACCCAGAGTCCCTTGATTGAAAATGATACGCTATGACTCAAAGAGGCAGGAGGAAAATTGTGGCCTTATTGGTGTTAACGAGTCCTGCCATCAACTGAGTTTGGTGAGGCTTGGAGTTTGCCCAGTGTTGTCTCACTCAGAAGTCATCTACTCAAATCTCTGTGCAGATTTGGATGCATCTCTAGCCTTCTTCCAGTTAGCCATGATGCAGATCCTAGCAGAAGAATACAAACATACCACCCTCTCTGCCATCAGTGACATACAGCCTTATTCTTCATAGCAGGACACTGATTTATCATTTTGCTGCATGTACTGCTAATAATTTGTCCCTAAAGTTGCAGTATTGCTTGTGGAAAATAAATGAATATAATACCACGTATACTGATAGAGGAGACAACTGTCTAAGCAACATAGATACTTGCATTGCTTAGAGCTGTATCTTCAGAGGTTGTGTCTGCTGCATCTCCCACTGCCGTCTCATAGATGCTGTGCTTGAAGGCTCTTCAGTTTGGTACCTAAATAGGAGCTGACCTCTCTTGAAAATTTGACCCCAAATATACATCATAAATGAGCTGTGAGAGTAGAAATGGCTGCTGTGTTGATGCTGATGCTAATGCGGAGGCTGCTGCACATCCGCTGCTGCTGAAACAAGACTATTAATTTGTCTAGCACCGGTGCACCAGCCTCGGGCATATTTGTTGGGCTTGTCACCAGCACATTACAGCGTGACGATCTCGCTGGGAATACGCAGGGATCCATGAGCACCAAGGTGAAACCAGGCAGTCTTTCAATGCATCCATCCACCAGTTTGCTGTTCTCGTTTTTAGGAAGATGGGGTGCAAAGAAAGCTGAGTGGTTGCTGGATTGAATTTATAGACTGAACATGAATTCTCAGTTCTACCTGGGAGAAATTGTACGAACTTTGCATTCTCCTATGCCCGAGGAAGGGTGCACGTGCCTGAAAGCTAAAGAAAGAAAAAAAAATTGCAATTGTCTAGTTGGTCTAATAAAAGAGATCACCTCTAGCACGCTGACTGCTTGTATTTCTTAAACCAACACAGCTACAACCTTTATCCCTGAGTGGTTGCTGGAGCATTTTAACCGTTTTCTCTGTTTTTTGAACAAAAACTCCTCTTTGCTTTCTGGCTTTGGTGGGGATGGATGATGGTTCTCCATGGTAGCCCTAGTGCAGCTTGGACTAAGACTAAACAAGAACAGCTCATTGCACAATGCTGCAAGGTGGAAGAAGGGAGGCCAGCCTTCCCTTGGCAACCTGTTTGGATGTGGAAGCCCACGTACAGCTATTAAAGTTTGGCTTTGGATCCACAGAAGTCAGGTTCAGGAAGGCCAGGCCCATCCCCTTCCACTTGACAGTGTGAGAAATATTTTTTTATACATTTCAGTAAAGTTTTGTATTGAATTTTGGTTGGAACAAAATGTATCTAGCGCCCTGAAGCCAAATTCACATCTGCGTTTTGGGAGCCAACACTTTTCCCAAAGGTCTCTCTTCCGCTCCATTGAATCCCACTCACACGAATCCAAGCCTTTGCAAAATCTATGCATGTGCTTATCTTCACTCAAGCATGTCCGTGGTGAGGGCCCAAGCTCTCGGAAACAGGTAATCAGATGTGAATATGGCCAGCTCTGCTTCGAACCGGTGTGGGGGCCTCGACTGCCCTTTGCTGCAGCCCAAGAAATGAATAGCCATCTTGCTAGATAATTAATTCCTGGCAGGATAATTAATAGGTGAGCGTCCCAGCAAGATGAACCAAATCAATAAGTTGTGCAGAAGCATGTGTGGGTTTTTGTGTAGACTACTCCATCTTTATTTAACCAACTAGCTTTCCTAAGCCCCAGGCAGCTGCTGGTGTTTGAAGCAGTGCTCTACACACTGGTGGTGAGAGGGGAGTGGGGGAATCAGCTGTACTCTCTCTCGGTCTCTCCCTCTCTCGGCAGTTGTGACGTCTGGGCTAGAAATCTTTCAAAACCCTCCAAGAGCCAGGCAAGGCGCTTGCTCCCCTTCTCGGAGATCAAGAATGTAGTCGGCTTCTTCCTTCCTCCCCAGCCTACTTCAGGGAAAACAGACTTGAAAGGCAAAGGTTTGTGACAGATCCACGTGCAGATTTGGGAATTCAGGTGCTCGGGTTTCTCGGCGCTGCTTGGGGCTTTGTTGCTTTGTGGTGCATGGGGCTTTTGGTTTGTTTTTTGGCTTGTTTCCCCCCCTCTCCCTGGAATAAGGAACATTTCTAGACCTGCAAACTACATGAAACTCCCCACTAAGCGTGGTGGGTTCGTACCGTCCCGACTCACGTAGTGACAAAAAGTGCCAAAAGTTGAAAGCGTTGATCACTTTAAGACCAAGTAACTCTGTTATAGACTTGCACTATCGAGTCTTTTGTGGAGAGGAATTCATTTCTGCAGAGGCTGGTGGATGCTGGAAACAGCGTGGTTTTGTTTTGCGGTGACTTTTGCGGTATGAAGCCCTGGAGGGAGTTGGGGGGTAGAGAGGGGGATTTCTTCCAAGGAGCAAAGGAATTGGAAAGTTTTGTAAACTTGGAGATGAAGGTCTGATGATGGTTGTGGTCGGTTGGGCTGTTTTTTCACCTCCTTATATGCCGTGTCCCTGCACCAAGTTGGTGATACTGAACCTGGCTGTGCTGGGGGGAAATTCCCAGGCTGATTTACTTGCATATTTATTTGGTGACTTTGAACCACTAGACTCAATGGCTTCCTGTGGTCCTTGCCTTCAGGGATCATCTAGACCAGGGCTTCCCAACCATTCCTTCAGCAAGACCCCATTTAAACATTGGAAATTTTTTGCAACCCCAAAATGACGCAGACACAATCAACAAGTCGTAAATAGGGCATGGCAATGTTTATGGTCTTTATATTTTTCATTTAAAATGTTTAAAATCATTTGTAAAATGTAAAAATCAGCACTGAATACAAAGTCTAAAACAGCTATTAAATGCACTTATTGCTGCACATTTATAAACGGGAAGCGTGTTCATCATAATCGGTCGACACCGTCAAGTGTCTTTGAGACTCCTTTTTTTATTGTTGCGACCCCAAGTGGGGTCACGACCTGCTGATCTCAGCTAAGAAAATAGTTCTGGTTTTGAAAACACGTGAGCTCGGGTGAGTACTCCCTGTGTAGACAGGGTTCAACCCTGTCAGAAACAACCTTTGGGAGTGCTCGCTTACAACAGTTTTGTTCTGATTTTTGATGCTGTCATTTTAAATTGGGTTTTACTCTGGTTGAAATTCCAAAAATGTCATTTTGGGGCCAGGGAAGCTGCCCCAAAAATCAGCCTTTTGAGAATTTAATTCCGCCCCTCCCCCAAAAGTTTTGAGTAGAGAAATTAATCAAATCTGATCTCTTTTTTTCCTTAAGAAGTTCGGGCTTTGAGGAATCAGTTTTGGTTTTGACACACACAAGCTGCCAAAAAAAGATTTCAAACCATTCCTGAGCATCTCTTTGCCACCCCTTTCCCAAGTACCTTTTTAAAAGCCTAACTAATATTCCAGCTCTAAGTCACCTGTCACCTGGGGTTTTTTCCCAACTAAGCCAAGGTCCTCTGTGTTGTCTACCTTCATCTGAGCTGAGATGCAGACATTTCCGTGCCTTCCCAACCCTATTTTTAGACGAATTTTTCCCTTTTTGGAAGAATTTCCACTGCAGCCTCAGAAACTTCATGTAGCACTACCCTTGTGGAGGATGGGAAACCAAGACTTGGCAATAATTAGGGCAGAAGGTGCAAGGGTAAATGAGTATTGCCCAAAGAAGCATGTAATGGTAAGGGAGCGGGTTACCCAACTAGTGAGTGAATGTAAATGGATGTCATCTTTGCTGCTAGTTTCACCCTTCTCCTATATTTGCTGCGTGCACTTGTTGCATCTTGCTGCACTCGCGCTGTGATTTTCTCCCTATGCATTTGTACAGCACCTTGCACTGTGAGCCTGATGGGTGATGTTACCATATAAGTCACGATCTTCAGACCCGCTCTGAAAGGTGACACATGGCTGCATGCAAGAATTCCCGGTGACTGGAAAATAGGCGCTGCGCGCTCCATATGCTGCCTGTGAATTCCTTCCCTGAGTAAGTAATAGGGGAAAGGAATCTGCCCACTGCAGGCTGTGGGCCATCAGACAGGGGGATGTCACTGTGCTCTTGCATCTCGCATGGCTGACTGCCTACGTGATGGACAACAGCAATAAATAAGACACGACTACAGTAGAACTGCATGGGAAGTCTGGTGTTTAGCATCACTCCCTTAGGATAGGCATCTTTGCTGGGGCTGCAAGTACAATAACACCTCGTGCTTCCCAGCGGTACATCAAAAGAGGACGTCAGCACTGTTTTCCCTGCTTTACAGAGGAGGAAGATGAGGCACAGAGGAGCGAGGTGACTTGCAGGCTGGTGCTAGAGACACACAAAGGATCCGGGTGTCTTCAGCTCTGGTGCCTGTGCGAGCCAGATCACAAGGCTGCACGTGAACTTTTCTTGGGTGTTTTCCTGAGTCAATACTCGGTAACTAAAACTCCTCTTCCCGTTGATGCTTTAAGGTAAAAGCTTCCGATTGAATCAGGTTTGTTGGTTGTAGCCGTGTGGGTCTAAGGACGTAGGCAGGCCGTCCAAAGAGCCTTGTCTGGCTGCATCCAAACCTTACAACGGGCTTGAGCCAGCGTCCATAAATTAAAATGGGAGAATACATCTCTTCACTTAAGTAGGCTTTAAACTCAGCCTAATTTTCACTCAAGTGGAAAAAACCCCAACCTGATACAATTCAGTATCGTACCTCCAGATGGCATCCGGTTTGCTTCTGAACTTTTTAGCAGAGTTACAGGGAGAGCATAAGTGAACGCAGAGCAATGGTGGTGGTTGCTGCAATATTCTTATTTCAAGGCCTTTTTGCACAGCTAGACCGCGCTTGCTTTGCATGAGGCCTTTATAAGCAGCGCAGACTTTGCATTGGGTTTTTTGATGCAAAAGGTTGGTCTTCATCTGACCGTGATTTCAGAAGCTCGATTTGTCTGTTTTCCCAAGGCAATGATATGACTGTGTCAAAATGAAATGAAAAGCCAGAGCCTTCGATGGGGGAAGCTCTCAGGTTTCCTTGTAGTTATTTCACATAACGCCAAGTGGTGTGGATGGGTGGGGGGGCGACTGCTTTAGGTTATGGCTCGCATGTCTCTCCATTAATTCTCACTGGCTTTGGGGCCATTAAAAAAACGTATGAGATTCTTGGCCGACCTCTTGTTTTGCTTCTTGATGAAGAAGCATCTGATAACATTGGAGAGTAATAGAAAGTTGCCAGGAGCCATTTCATACCTGTTCATCATCTTCCACGGAGCTGCAATGTGGCTGTAGGCGGAAGGA